GGGAAAAACGAATTTTGTCCGCAGGATACAGAAAAAAGTTATATTAAACACTTGTAGATGTGTTTGGGCCCTCTTCTCAAAGGAAAAAAGTTTTATGAATGTTTTTTACAAATCAAATACAGATTCCGCGCTGACATTTAAAGTATGTTTTTATCTAGTGTGCTATTCACAGCTTATACAGGCTGCCGGCTTTCATTTAGAATCTAGTTCTTAACAAAATTTTAAATTAATCTTTCTGAAAAGTATAGAAATAGCTAGCAAAATGAGAGAGAAGTTTGCAAAGTTAAGACATTCTTTCAGGTCTCCTAATAAAACAAATTTGGGGACTTTACTCAATGTCAACAATAATAGGAAAAATAAATGGTTGAGGTGAAAATGTGGAACTGAGAAGTGCATATGGAACTTTTAGAAACTTGGAAAAAATATATTTAAATTTTAGATAAATTCTCTTCATGTACTTAATTATTCCAACAAGCTGTTGTGAGTTAAGGTTTTCTCCAACGTTAATATGACACCTGCTCCTTCGCAAGTCGTTGCACCAAAAGTCATAACTGAACCTCCAACAAGCTCGACAACTCTGACTCTACGCTGAAGAATAACTTACCGTTTATCTTTCTTCTTACGTATACCATGCTACCATTACTCTCCAGACTATACTTAGCTTCATTTTTAAATATCGCTTTTACTGAGAATCCCAGTAATTCTAGCAAAACTGGACTTTCTTAATTTAATGACTGTTTGTTGTGCAGAAATTTACCCTTCCCTGACTTCCTATTTCAAAGAATGCAAAAGTTACATAAAAATCAGAGAGAACAAAAATCAACCTTTAATTTTAAATAATGATAAAAAGAGTTAAACTGTACAGGAAGACAACTTCAAACCGGCTAAAAAGTAAAGTATGACACATGCTCGTCCTTGATTTTACGTAATTATTTATTATTGTCAAAGGTCATAAATGTTTTATTCAAACGAAACAGAACTTGGCAGGACAATGTAGAATTATCAAAAGTATTGACACTCGTTTACTGCATGGTTTTACTTCTACCGTTATTAAAAAGGTTTAGAAATTAACAGTTATTTGAATGTGTTATCAGCTGCATTATTTTGACCGCTACTGTACATCTTTAATATACACTGATATGCTGCATGAAATGATGCATGCGACAAATGCGGCTAAGAAGCTGTTTACTAGTTTTACTCAAAT